TTTGTTTTTTAATATAATCTTTATACACTGTCTGATATATATATATATACATGCTATAAGAGAGGTTGCTATGAGAGAATATGCTCAGTTCAGAGACTTAACAAGAATACATTCTGATAAAAACAGTTACAGTCAAGATACTATGAGGATCTACAGTTCAGAGTAGGGCTGCACCATATCAGGAAAACTTGCGATGTGTGATAACAGTGCTTAATATTGCGATAATGATATTACTTGCGATAAATAAACAATAAGTATTTAGAAGTATGATGTTTTCTGCTTTAGGTTCTGAGCAAAAAATCAAACAAAGAAACAAAACGAATCATTTTCATTCTGGTATGAATTTTTAAAAATATGAAGAGTAATATATGAAGGGCTCCATTTGATTGGTAAAATACTTCAAGCTTCCGTCTGAGTGACAAAACTCATTTATGCATTTGTAGCAATATGCATATTGCGATGATTTTTGATATATTGTGCAGCACTAGTTCAGAGAGTGTGACTTGTGTCACACTATCCTCCTCAGTTCAGAGAATATATCTTTATTTTTTTACCTTGCTTTACATCCCTAAAGATTAATAAAAACACCTAGTGAAAACATAATTTTATGTTTATGTTAACTTTTACGTTTATCAATAGAGCTCAAATAGAGAGGACTACAGAGTAGTGGAGGAACCACCATTCCAACAGAATACCATATTACAACTATTTAACTAAATTAAAATTATACCTATATAATTACCATGTTATTACATTTGTTTTTTACAGTACAAAATGCATGAAGTACACTTGAGTGTACAGATAATTATTTCTTTAAAAAATAAAGGTAGAAAGTTTTTTTTTTCAAACCTTGTTTTATATCCCTAAGGATGTATAAAAACCGTAAAAAATCCTGACTGAGCTTATAATTCATGCACGAAAGGGTTAATGTGGAAAAAATAGTGTCAATTTCATTCAGAGACCAGTTGACCAAATCCATAATTCCTTTTTGTTTCAGTTGATAGGTAGAAAAAAAGACTTGAAAAAGCTGCAAAGCAGGGTAGGAAGGGCAGGATCAGGAGAGAGCAGAAAAAGTGTCCAGCACCTCTGAAGGCTAAGCGAAAAAAAAGGGGGAAAAGAAATTKCAAGTATGACTCAGCAACGTGTGAACAATAGGTGATAATCAGGGCCCCAACGATCTATTGTTAGACTGGTGGTCCACCTTGGCATGTGAACAGACAGTGTTGATGTTCGTTAAACTTGTTTGTCCACCATGAGGAGGCAGTACTTACAAGACTGAGTTCACCTGAACCTCCTCAGATTGAAGAAGTCTCTTGGAGAGACAAAACTTTTCATTAAAGACAAACCTGTCCAGATGACCTATTTTTTAAAAAAAACAAACAATAGATTTAGTGCTTACAAATTTATAAAATATATCTTATGGTTGTAAACAGAACAAACATGATACCTTTAAGCAGTTGGCAGGATAGTTGAAAAGATTAACAAGTAACATTTCAAAGCTAGTTAATCACTGAACTACAAACTGTCAGCTGAGCATCAGTAAAACAAGGTTGGTCATTAGTTTTAGATTACATCTGCAATCTGAAGCCATCCCACCACCTATTATGGATCACTACAGTCTGTGTGTATTAGCAGTATAATTTCCTGCTCTCCTGACGGCTTTGTGATGTCAAAAAACAGAGCACTACATTACTGTTACACATCAAATGTTAATGTGTAAAAAGTCACTACTTTTACTACTGTTGAAAATAAGATGATCATGAAGAAGATTTGAATGTCCAGATTGGCTGTGGATGACTCAGTGGGTGGCATCATTAAAGGGAAAAATGACCACCAAGGTAGAATTAGTGCGTTAGAAACATTACTTTAATAGAAGACTCCAAGAAAAAGAGTTAAAATTCAAAAGATTTAATTCTTGCAAGAGAGAGAAGAAAAACAGAGGACACAGAATCTTACACAGATTTTCTAATTAAGAACAGTTTCTGCTTATTTTTTATGCAATGTAGGGTGAGTGGAGTTGAAAAACAAGATTCCATTCAGCTGGTGGTCTGTCACATACAGAAACTGGATCTTGTCCCTGATGAAAAATGTCCTTATTTGGGTKTTGTCCTTCTTTTACTGTATTACTGTATTCTTTTACTGTATACCAAATTTCCCTCTGGGATCAATAAAGTATTTTTGAATTGAATTGAATTAGAATTTTACTGACATTTGGAAACACGTGAATCTGCTCCTCACATTTGCAATTGCATAATCTGAGTAAAAGTAGGACATGTTTGGACCAACGGTTTGTCTCAACAAACTGAATGAAAAGGAACAATTAATTTCTATCTTGGTTATCTTCTTACTTGTCAGCTATTAAGACACAAGAGTTAAAATTTATAGTTTTAAAAWGTGATCTCACAAAATTTCAAGACTTTATGAAGATCTAGGATATAGGAGTGGGTCTGAGGCCCTTAGATGAAAGAGGAAAAAACATTTGACATGCTAAGCACAGTATACTCTGGCAAACATTTTTCCCCACAAATTTGTATTTTCAATCAACTAAGAAAGTAGAAAAAGTCACTTAGCTTTTTCCTCTTTTAATTGTGTGAATGACATGAAAGAAACTAACTTTCTTTTTATAAGTGCAGTCAAACGTCACCATGTTGTTTAGGTGCCAGTACACAATTCAAAGGTAGAAAGTATGATGGTTAATTTCACACACAGCTTCYRTCCTTGTCCTCACAGCTGATGAGTGTTGGCAGCGTACACAGCTCTTTGAGGATTAGTGGTACTTACTCTCCCATCCAAGTAGCATAGCTTTCAGGCAGTTTAGGAACAAAAAGAATGGATCTCCCAGAGTCCACATCAATGGCTCCATAGCAGTCAGGCTCGGTCACTCCAAAWGCCCAGTGAAAGAAAGACTCCTGGACAAGTGAAAGGATCAGACACAAGCAAAGAGGAAATACACTTTGTGCTCTTTTCTCAAGGTTTTAGGCTACAGTACTGACAAATGGCTGGGACAAACCCTTCAAAGGTGACAACAACTCACTGCTTGTTTAGTGATCATAGAAGGAGAAATAAATCCTAAACTACATCCGACCTACCTGCCTGAAGAGGACGTCGGTGTCTGTGCAGTACCTCTGMTTCTGCTCCCCTCCCTGCAGCACCACCACAGACTTTGGCACCAAACCTTCTTTAGCTTTCAACCCCTGACACAATCTCCGACGGTTCTCAGCAAAAAGGGCAGCCGACACCCTCAGGGTTTCATTACCCAGCCAGTACACAGGTCTGAAGAGACAGGAAGACAGAGTACCTCATTTCAGGGTGAAGATGTGGCTGAAGAGCCTGACCAGTAAATTAGAGGGTTTTGGTTAAATTATAATTGTAACTGTTTAAAACTGGAGCAACATAACCTCACTGACTCTGATTCCTGACATCAGTAATTCTCTTGTATCCTGACATTCATTCATTCATTCACTTTCTGTAACTGTAAGTACACTAAAGTAACCCCTACACCATAAAATTAATAATTAAACATTTATTCACCTTTTTAGGCTTGACTTGCTTTTCATTTTCCTTGTTCTTTTATACTTTTAAAATTAGAAAAATTTAAATAGCCTGAACAAAATAATTGGGCACAAAAAGGAGCATCACAAAGAAATGACAATATAGTCATTAGTCAGACTCCCGTTGGCAATTATCACAGCTCTAATTACTGAGCAAAAACAAAGACTGTCAGTTCTCGTTTATTGGGTTGCTGTTGTTTTTTCGGCAATTTATTCCTAAAAATGTTACAGGGTTCTTTCTTAATTCATGGACAGAGCAAAGTTCCTCTAAGGTTAGTTTGTATGTTCACATATTCTGAATTTTGTTTACAGCACAGGACTGCAGGGACCATGTTATAGACTTTACTTTGTGCCTCTTTAGATGYTTCATCTGGATTTTCTCCTGTTGAAACAGTTTTTTTTATCCTTAGCTGTATAAGCGTTGGGCCATTTGCTCCCAGAAACAGAATCAACACTTTCCTTCAGTAACATATTGACAATGGACACTTGGTAAAATGTCAAATCATGACTGATTAACCTTCATTCTTAAAAGTTTTTTTTTTAATTTAGCAATCTGCACCATTTTTATTCCACACTTATTTTAGCTAATCAAAACTGTGAAGTACTTTAACCTAATTGATTCATAAAGGAATCTAAATGTAGAAATCCTGGCTGGTGTACACAAGCAAAAGTTTTCTTGTGAGAACTCAATAAAAAAAAGATAATAAAAAATAATAAAACATTTGCAGAATTATAAAGCAGCTACAGTGAGACAGAAGTAATAAGTTTTTTTTTTTTGGTCTATGTAACATTGTAAAAATATCTAACAATATAAAACAAATATAATGTACTTATTTGCTTGTATTGTTTTCACCTGTCATTTTTAAATTTCCTCTTGAGGTTTCAAATAAAAAAAAAGTCAGTAAAAAAATAAAGCTATGTGTGAAAAAAAAACCTACATCTCAATAAACTGACCTGCCTACAGTCTAATTAATCTGCTCCAAACCAGTTAATGAAAGAGTTAACCAATTTATATTTTTTATGAAGTGAAACGATGAATGTTTACTCTCAATTAACATCCCAATTAGACTAAAATAAAGGTATTAATTTGAAMAAGTGCTCTGCACTTTTTATTACAACATTTGTGTTTTCATCAGCACAATTTGACGTGTTTTTTGAAGCTAATCTGTTGTGATCCAGAGCTTATACAGCACTTGCTGCTTGGACGTCTCAGCATAGTTAATTTGCTCCAAACCAGTTCAGGGAAGAACAGCAATGTGCTTATTTTGTATATCACAGAATTTCAAAACTTTGTTTCAGATTCTCCAAGCAGCTTTCTTCATTTAAAAATATTCTAAAAACCTGCAATCTTTGAATAAAATAACATAAGAAGATCTGCTATAAAAACAAGTCTATTTGGATTTAATAAGGAGGTAGATGAACAACAGCCTGTATTCACATAAACAGTTAATACATAAGATACTGACAAGCAATGTCSTAAATTATTTCAGGTATGAATTTTTGTATCCGCTGATAAGATAAAGAACAACATGTCTTGTGCCACCTGGACAGTGACAGTGACAGAGTTCAGAGTTTAATTTCTAAACTCACTGAATTTTATGACCGGATTAAAACAATACAAGTTTGTTTCTTGCCCATGACAAAACAATCTTATTTCTGAAATCTCAAATTGTTCATTTTTTTTGTAAAATAAACATAAATGTAATAAAAAGTAAACATAAATGTAATAAACTTTTAAGTACTGAATGTAAAGTGAGGATACTTTAAACATGTACACTCAGCACCACAATAATCTTGTCCCATTTCATTTTATGCTGACGGAGTCTGTTGTGTCATCATGTGATGAGGGCTGACCATCTGATTGTTTCTGCACTTACAGACTACAATATTTCATTTATCTACTGGATACTAGTTAACTTATTCTCATTGAAAACAACAGCTGCCCATGTTCTTACAGTATTTAAAAATAAGGGCTGTAATGCAAGCGTCAATAACGCGAGACACAGCACCATGAAGTCAAAGTCCAAAATCTGCAATTTAGTCCACTGACTTGCTTGAGGAACTTGCAATGAAGTGTAACAGCGTCTTAAGAGCCTAGCAGATAAAATGAAAATTGAAACAGATTCTGAGTGGCGTAAAACTTTAAGTGTTTTAAATTTGACCCGTGGGAATAAGATTGTAGTCATTTGTAGAAATAATGCGACGTGTTTAGGACGGGTTTAGCTCAGTAAATATTTCGATAACGTTGCAAAAGTTTTGATTATTTAGCAACAGCAAGCGAGCTCGGCTAACTATCAAAGAAAATGGCGATAAAAAGATAGTCGAAACAAATACAGTTCAATTAATTTGCGACCTAAAGTAAATAAACGTATTCTGTTAGTCGGTATTACAATACAAAAAGAGAAATTAACTCACCGTGCTRCTGCAGCCATTCTTGCAAAAAACAAAACTAGACTGTCACATGCGTGTCACGTGACCTTCCYACGGCTCTGCGACGTAGCGTCATGCTGCATTCAAGTCTTCAGGACATTGTAGCTTCCACGGTGAAATTCTTGTTCACTGTAAAGTTCTGCATTCAGTAGGGCAGACTGAGTACAGTAGACAGTTTTTGCTTTTCCCATTTCCACACAAAAGTTAGACACTAAAAACACATTGAAAAGAATATATATTTTTACATAACATATATTTTATATGTTAACTAAAATATAACCAAGAAATAATAACCCTAAGTTGTTTATATTTTTCACAATTAATCAAAAACCAAAAAAGTTATTTTTGTTTCAACTGTACTCATATAAAAAACTTTAACTGTGCAGTCGAGACACCATTCAAAATGCTGGAAAGCTAACATCATTGCAAATACTTCACTTCAATAATGCATGTCTTTCATTGACTCTAGCATAGGTTAAAAGTTAAAAACAGCAAAACAAATTTTATATTTAACATATACATAATTTGTTGATTGTTAATATTACTTTGCAGTATATGTGTATTTTTAAATGTTCTAAAGTTCACATGAATGGTTTGCATTCAAATAATAGCTTATTTTAAGATCTATTAAATTCAAATGAATGAAAGAACATACTTAAACTATTGCTGCTAAACAGCACGCAAATCAATGTCGGGTACAGTTGAGACACACTGTCTCAACTGTACCCCGATGACCATGTTGCACGTTTCACTGGATTATGTAATGTTCTTTAATGCCATGATGTCATGAAATATGTTATATTGTAGGGGCCAAAATAAATTTTGCATATATTCAAGTTACATTTAGATGTCATATAAGGGTAACAAGATATTCACTGTAGAAGGGACATGGTAAAGTTAAAATCTAGCCTGTCAAAAAATATTTTTGTCGATATTTTTGTGGCGCTTTTCATGAAGTTCAAATTTTACACTATCAAAGAGGATACTAATGCACACGTGCACAGCAAAAAATCACAAGTAAGACTTGCTGCAAACAGAAGATATTGATGGTATCTCTTGTRTCTACAGTGCTCAGTTTACCCTAGATACTAAAAACAAACAAAAACATAGATTAGTGCAACTGAAAAACCTAAAGAACAATTTTATGATTTTTGTCAAACTTTTTGCGGCAAGCCATTTTAGCATAAAATCAGATTCATGACACTACCATTCCAGATACCTGAAATTGAATTATGACTGGTCATATTTGTTATTTAAGATAGATAACAAATATCTAAAGGATAAATATTGTTTATGTTGTATAATGCAATATTTTTTCCACATTTGATTTACTGTGTTGAGGTCTGGGGGAAAGCATGTAAAACAATTACAAATCCCATTTTTATTTTACAGAAAAGAACCGTTAGAATTATTACCAGAAAAAATTACAGTCACCCATCAAATATATTATTTTGTCAGTTGAAATTATTTAAATTTTATGAGTTGGTTGATCATAATATGTTGCAGGTTATGTATAAGCTCATGAAAATTTATTACCTCTAAATATTCAATTAAATTTTGTTAAGAGAGTAAGTAATTATAACTTTAATGGTATAGGGATGTTTGTAATGCCCAAAATTCGAACAAATCTGAAGGACAGATGTACTTCGGTCCAATGAATAAGATTGTGGAACAATCTGGAAAGTGATTATAAAAATGCTGGCTCAGTAATTTTATTTAAGAGAATGATGAAAGTTAGATTGTTGAGGAGATACGAATTTGCATAGTGTGCATTTATAAGAACCATTGTTCGAGAAGGAGTTGAAGTTTTTGTTATGTTTTGTTGTTTGAGGACTATTATTGTTTCAATTTATTTATTTAAAAAAGGGGCTGATATCAAAAAGAATTGTTTTCTTCTTTCTGCTACCTTTCATTTTATTTGTGTTTTATTGTTATTTGTTGAATGTATTTGTTTTGTTTTTAAATGAAATGGATAAATTTGTTAAAAACGATTTCTCCAATTACATTTTGACTGGTATAAATGACGTCAGAGTTACCATTGAGTTCTATAGAGGCTTCAATTCAAGATATCTTAAAAAGAGTTTTGACTAGTCAAAAATACAATTCGAATATCTCTAAGTTAGTTTTGACTAGTCACTAGTTGCTTTCAAGATATCTCACTTTTAGTTCTGAATAGTCATAATTCCAATCAAATATATGACATCATTATTTAAGATATCTTAAATGTGTTTTTAGATATCACAAATAAAGATAGGACTAGTTCAAATTCAATTACAGATATCTTGAAAGCAAATAATGACTAGTCAAAACTAAATTAGAGATATTTAGATCTGTAATTATGACTAGTCAAAATTCATTTTAAGATATCTCTAAACAAATTTAAGATATCTTGAATAATTTTTCACCTAGAGGGCTTTTCTATTCAAGATATTTTGAATTAACATTTTGACTAGTCAAAACGACATTCAACATATCTTGAATAATAATTCTGACTAGTCAAAACGTCACAGATTTACGTAGCATTTTGGTGGAAAAATTACTACATAGACATCATACTGTAGATACCGTAATGTTTCACTGCAGCTGTCATCTTGGACAGGTCCCCATCTAAAATAATCATAACTCTGTGATTTTTTTACCCTATTTTCTTACAGTTTGCTATGTTACAAATGRCAAAGATGTAGTTATGATACAGAATACTATCATAATAAAAAATCTGAGCTTTCATGCTGAAATACTTTGTTTTATGTTATTTAACAATATCTAAATATAGCTTTATTTGATAAAACATGACATTGGATGACTCAGTGTCCTGTTTTTACTAAATATATATTACTGTACATATTTACGTATATATCCATGTTATACATATGTTTTTTTTTTTGTTTCTTCCTTTTTCTAACAGTTTTTTATTTTTATTGTCTTTCTTTTACTTTATTCATATATGGCTCAAAATAAACTCAGAATTTAACAAAGACAGACATATATGGTATAGTATATTAATAAAAGTATAAATGAATAAGAATAGAAATCCTCTTTATTGTGTCTCTGTGGAGAAAATTAGGTGCATCAGCAGCAAAGTGACAGGCAATTCACACACAGTGTTACGCTGTTAAGGTTGAGCTCTGATAAATTGCCGGACCACAGAGAAAGATTTAACCATTTATTAAACACAAACTGGATATTTCTTTGGTTAGTAGGTAGATCCGGGTCAGTCAGTTCTAGACACAGAGAAACAGGATTAGTGGCTGGACAGAGCTGGTAATAATTATTGAAATTAACCGAAGCCACTAACCTGTTCTCCGCTGAATGAGTCCGTGAAGCAACTGAGACGAAGGCGCTTTGGTTCTGGAGCGGGGCGATGACGTCACCGTTTGTTTGTGTTTTGAATTGGGTTCCGTGATGCAAAGACAGAGTCGCTGGGCAGGCAGGGATCATACACAGGAGTCCACAGATTAAATCCGAGTTGAGAGGAGGAGGCAAGGTTCCATTTACCGTGAGACAGGCGTGGAT